TTGTCATATTTCAATGTTTTTTTGTCTTTATACATATCGGGTCGCAAATCTGACATTCTTTTCCCTTAAAAGTTTATTGATGGCCGGGTAACCTCTCTGAGGCGACCATTCGATTATTGTAAGTCAAGAGTTGTTGGTAAACTGTTGCGTCAAATACATAACAATAAGCAAAATAGTTTTTTTTCACTGAACCATCTTGTTCTGTTTAAGTTTTCTTTTCTCTACTCGCCATGGGAACCTGTCATAATTCTTTGCAGAGGGGGAGGGTGAGGAGGATTTTAGGAGGGATCACATGGTTTTTTCTTTTCGTCGCCAAAAGAGTACAAACAAATCAAGGAGTATTGTGACAATACGAATCCCAACTTTCCTTCTCAAACGTTATCATGCTCTTGACATGTGATGTGTATATCTTACAATTAATTCAAAGTTCAATGTCAATGGCACATCTTCCTCGGCCAATACCCTCTATCTCAGACACTGAACCACTCTCCACTCACTGGAAAATTTGATTTTTGAACCTTTCCGTTCAAAAATCAAATTCGTATTTACTAGAGTGTCTAAAAAATACCCTCCCCGCCTCTGAGGTTTGGACACACGTATTTCAGCAACCCACCCTCCTAACGGTTAGCCCCTGGATTGACGATAAGCTTCCCTGGATTTTCTTAAGAGCGTTTAGACTTAGTGTCCGCCTTCAAGCGAAAACCGAGGGACAGCCACTCCTTGGTAAATTAAGGCTGATATGCACGACACCCACTCAACTTGTTCATTTAATAATGACATGACTCCAAAACAAAACTATCCAACAATGCTTAACAATTTTCTAGTATACTAAGTACTGTAGCAGAGATGGCGCCATAGCAAAATCTTGTAGAGACATTGAAACGGTCCACTGAACCCACCGTGGAATTAAATATATTTTGTGTTCCTGTTTGCGAAATGGAAGCGTCTTATAACGAATTTTTCATACTCTTAACTCGTCTCAATCTGAGCATTATCTAACTCCGTAAAAGTGGCTACTTCATGCTTTGACGATAAGCTTCCACAAGTTTTTTTAAGGAGCTTTTAGACTTAATGTCCGCCTTCAAGCGAAAACTCAGGGACAGCCATGTCTTGGTAAATTGCGGCTGATACGCACAACACCTATTCAGCTTGTTCATTTAATCATGACATGACTCCAAATCGAAAATATCCAGCAATGCTTTATTCAAAATTTAAAACCAATCCTGATATGCCTTGATGATTCATTTATGAAGAAGACAAAATGTTCAGTCAGGAGGGAAATAAGTTTATTGCAATAGTTTCGAATGTTTTCTGCGTTTGTAATGAGATCTGTTAATGTCTCTGATAAAAGACAAACAAATTGGTGGAGTTGTTCTTTTGTCACACCCACGGCGGCTCTTAGCAGATTTCTGCAGTTCACTCGTTCTGATCGAACAGAAATTCGGATTTCCAAAGACTTTAAGACTGTTTAAGATGTGAATGTAAGTAAATATGTTTCACTTTGTTTGTCAAAGCCTGTTCTGGATAAGTAGAGCGACAAATGTAACTAAAAGCTGCTGCTTTCGTCAGCCTGGACTGACTCCTCTTGGTCAGAGAAGTGTAAATGCTCTTTAAAGTTTATGGTACTTGTACACTAACCAAATTATGAGCCGCAGAAAGGAATATTTTGACAGATCTAGAGCGAGCTCAATAGTGATCAAAAGCATTTCACAACGAACATCGTTGGTTACTCACATCTCACGCAGTTCATCTCTCTTTTTCTGTTCATTAGTCATATTTCTAAATCTCATGCAGCTGGGGTAATATCCACTGTTATGATTTCCATCCTCGTTGAAGTTTGAATTATATTTCCTGCTATACTAAGTACTGTTTCAGAGATTGCGCCATAGCAAAATCTTGTAAAGATATTAAAACGTTCTATTGAACCCGCCGTGGAATTTAATATGTTTAATGTTCCTGTTTGCGAGATGGAAGCGTCTTAAGAAGAAATTTTCACACTCTTAACTCGTCCCAATGTGAGCAGTACTTAACTCGATAAAAGTGATGAAAATTCAATCCTACTTTCCTGAAAACAAAACTTTTCAACGGATGCACCCGGGGCAAAATATCGTGCACACGGCGCTGCGTCATAGAAGTAACATGTTGATTCCACTCAGCTTACTTGCCCAATCAGAACAGTAAATTGATAAACCGACTATTTTCCCTCGCTCGCCATGCGGCGTATTCAGCTTAAATATTATAAGTTAATTAGGAGATGCACCTAAATATCAACCACCTGAGAGACAAAGGAAAGTATTCCTTCACATCTCAGGCCAAAAATAAAAGGTAATCGTTAACATTTATTAAAGCAGCCAAACGATTCACTTTTATCTTGAAGGAGGAGTGAGGAATTTCCTTAAAATGACTCAGATGGGGAGGCTCCCCCCATTAGAAGGACCTTTTACAGGTTTCAGATTTTTAAAGGATCGTAATCTGTCGGTTTGATACCAAAATTAGGCTTAAAAGGAGCACCGATTTTTGTGTACGAAAAGGATGCCTTTTCTACAGTTGGAAAAGTGAGTAAGAGATCAGATCTCAACGGGAACCTTCTCATCTTGAACTTCTTAGAGAGCCCCCCAGTTTTTATACCGCCAAGAGCAGTTTCCTGGCGTTATTGCATCCTTACCACTTTTTTCCCCGAACATTTTACATCGTCGTTGTAGCCAGACCCTGCGGAAGTTGTCATTCATAAGAGAAGAATTGATTCTCGCTGCCGATCTTTCACTTCGACATAGGCGAGAGAAGGTAAGTTATTTCTGCGTTTTATCAGGATCACATGCTTGTTGAGTCAATGCTGTCCAAAAATATAAAACGTTTGAGAACTGTCGGACCTCAAAGCGGAATTAACCCGTATAGAACGTTTATTTCGTGAGTAACCTACTCCTTTTCTCGGTCGTCGATGCCGTAAGTGGCCTTTACTGAGCCTAAGCTTTAGAAAATTTTGCTTTTGACACTAATAGGCTGTTGTTTCACTCCTTCGTAAGGGAAACTGTTGTAAACGAGAAAAGTTCACTTCGATTCAGACAAGAAAAGGTGAGGTATATCTGCGCTTTATTTGGACAACATATTTGCACGTTTGTGAGATAATATTGTAAAAAGGGATGTCGGACATTAATAGCATTTGAGAATGGAACGAGTCGACGGTACGCCCGAAAGTAGCGGAAGCAGCTCGAACAAGAACTTTAATACAATTTATCAGCTGAAATCGAGCCTGTCCGCTTATAGGGGAGTTTAGAATGTTTGTGGTTGTGTAATAGTTGATCTATTTTGTTTCAACCGAACGTTTACGCCCTAAAGCTCAGCTTGACATTCTACACCGACGAGCGGAAAGAGGATATAATAACTTGTTTATTGGATCTGTCAATACCATACTTTGACTGACACTAAATTTTATTAGAGCTGTTGTGTCTCCTCAAATTAACAGCTAGAAAGACTCGAGTGGTTGTAAACTATCAGTTATCAGTCTTTTTTTCTCATGCATGTTTCCATGATCAGTTACTCGACGAACTGTACGCAAATATGGAAACCAAAAGTTAAGGGTTGTGAGAAACGAAAAAGGGATTGAGGCGAGACAAAAGAAAGACACTGGCTCATCCCAGTCTTACGCTTAATATATTTCAACGTTTAATAGTCAGCAAAGGTTATCGTATTCTACATTCAAGAATAGTTGAGTGATGGAGCGCTATTTCGTAGATCTGGACCAAACACAAATTCACTGTTGTTAAGGTTACATACCAAAGATAAATCTGTTCGGTTTTGTTTTAAGCTACTTTTTTTGTGTGCAAAAAACAACAAACTTTACTGAATTACTACAACAATTAATTTTGTTAATTAATGAAGCCAAACTTCTCATATCAATTCTGGAATTATATTCAGAGGAGAATTTGATTTGATTACGATACTAACCGCTGTAGACGTCATCGCTCACGTGAACAACGAAGCTACTCGCCTCGTTTCCATATGGAGTTCGCCAGGGTTCGGAAAAACGTCGACTGCAATCGCCATAGGACATCGCCTCCAAGCGCAAGGCCTATTGGGATTCTTCCTTTCGTTACGTGGCCTGAGGCTAAAAAGTGATCTAACGTCGAGATTTCTTGGATTGCTTACGCAACCTGCAACAGCATCGCATGACATGACAGCAGATGACGAACTTTGCTCAATTTGGGCTCAAATTGCAAATCCCTTCGTTTTCATGCTTGATAATGCCGATGATCTTTTTGAAAGTGGCCTTCCGGACGTCAAAGAGGAAGTTATTGATTTAATTGGAGAAATTCTCAATCGCAGCGATAAGGTTACGTTTCTTCTCACTACAAGGGAATCTTGTGAATTCTTAAATCTGCGTTTCAAAGGACACCATGCTTTAAGAATAAGAGAGCTGGATGAGCAATCCTCCCTAAACCTTGTTCAAGAGTTGCTTCCAGAAGCGAGCAAGTCTGATAGTATAAAAGTTAGGCAGACTTGCGGGAGTGTACCATTGGCCATGAAGTTGTTGTGTTCCTCCATTTCGGAGGATAGTACTGGAACATTGAGTGGGTCTGTTGACGTGTTCTTGAATACCACAAATAACATTCTGGAAATGTTGGACAACTCAGTCTATCCCAGAAATAAAAAAATTAAGTGTCTTTTCGACTCCTCTCTTCAGAGACTGTCCGTAAAGGAAAGAGAAGCACTGGTCTCACTTTGCATTCTTCCCAACCACTTTGACCTACATGTCGCATCAGCTGTGTTAGGAATGAAAACAATCCAGGCTGCCAGAATGCTGCAGATACTAGCGAAAATCCCTCATTGATTATAGTTCCAAAGCTGAGAAATATTCCATCCATAAGCTGTTATTGTCATTTATACAGGAAAAAGGGGAAAACGAAATGAAAGAAATGGTTCTCAACGCTAAAGTGCGTTTTTTTTAACTGCATATTTCCCTCTTCGAGACGCTAACAGAAAAGTTCCTCACAGGACATTCCATGTCGGCTTTCCTTGAGTATTTTCAGAATGAGGAAAGTTTCGTTCAAAGTCTAATTGACGGTTGTCTGGAGGAAAGAACAGTCAGTAAAGTTTGCGAGGTTTTGATTAAAGCTGAAATATATCTCTGCTTTCTTTACTGGCAAGATTACGCTATGATTGACATCATTTACGAAACAGCAATAAAGGCAGCCAATGATCGCAATTGGCTTAACTCTGTCCACAAACGACTGCTTCTGTCGAAAACGTATGGGAGCTTGGTTATGGGCGCAACTGAAGAGACGAAGAGGCTGCTGTCGGTGAATAAGCAAGTTCAGTTGTCTACTGCCATCCAAGACACAGAATTGCAAGGAGAATTCTTGACTTACCAAGGATTGTACAAAATGTTTATCGGGAGAGTTGAAGAAGGAGTGAGACATTTAGAAGAAGCGCCTTCGTTAATGGAGACAACTCCAAAGCATAGAACCCTAAAGCTCATTATTCTCCAAGTTCTTGCTCTTTATCAAAGTTCCAAAAGGAACCCCGTTAAAGTCACTTGACCTTTACAAAAGAGCAGTAGATGAATGCGAAGCAATGGGAAACACGGGCTTAGTAGTAATTCCGGAGATCGATGAAACCAGGAGAGAAGAAGACAGGATACATCTAAACGAGACCAGACTGACCCATAACCAGGCACTTCAAACGGAAGTTGTCATTCTGGTGAGTCAAGCAGTAAAGAACATCTCCACTGATACAACCAGCCAATTCTTTAGTAATTTACTGCTGCAAATACTGACGGAATCTGACTCTGCCATACCAACTGGTGCAACTGGTCGGTTCCATTTTAATTTATCTGGAGTAAGACTGCTCATTAAATTAAAAAAGAACAAGAACCGTGTAATTCAAATCGGAGATATAGTGAATTTTCATCCCGAAAAAATACCAAAAAAGTTGAGAAAAACATCAGTGCAACTTCCTCAAATAACAGCGAACGCACGAAAGCCAACCACGTAGAAGCCTTAGAATCAGAAAAGAGTGCACTGGATATCAGGTTAAAAGTCCTGGGGGAAGAACATTTACAAACCGCTTCCAGCTATCATTCATTAGCAGCTACACAATATTCACTTGGAGACTTTGTGTCAGCCCCTGAGTCAGACAAGCGTGCACTGAATATCAGGTTAAAGGTTTTGGGTAAAGAACATCTACAAACCGCTCACAGGTATCATGAATTAAGACTTACTCAACATTCCCTTGGAGACTTTGTGTCAGCCCTTGAGTCAAACAAGTGTGCACTGAATATCAGGTTAAAATTCCTGGGTAAAGAACATTTACAAACCGCTGACAGCTACCATTCATTAGCAGCTACTCAACATTCACTTGGAGACTTTGTGTCAGCCCTTGCGTCTGCCAAGCGTGCACTGAATATCAGGTTAAAAATCCTTGGCGAAGAACATTCACAAACCGCTGACAGCTATCATTCATTAGGAGTTACTCAACATTCACTTGGAGACTTTGTGTCAGCCCTTGAGTCAAACAAGCGTGCACTGAATATCAGGTTAAAAGTCCTGGGTGAAGAACATTCGCAAGCCGCTGCCAGCTATCATTCATTAGGAGCTACTCAACATTCACTTGGAGACTTTGTGTCAGCCCTTGAGTCAAACAAGCGTGCACTGAATATCAGCTTAGAGGTTCTGGGTGAAGAACATTCGCAAACCGCTGACAGCTACCATTCATTAGGAGCTACTCAACATTCACTTGGAGACTTTGTGTCAGCCCTTGAGTCAAAGAAGCGTGCACTGAATATCCGGTTGAAAGTCCTAGGTGAAGAACATTCACAAACCGCTCACAGCTATCATTCATTAGGAGCTTCTCAACTTTCACTTGGAGACTTTGTGTCAGCCCTTGAGTCAGACAAGCGTGCATTGAATATCAGTTTAAAAGTCCTGGGTGAAAAACACTCACAAACCGCTGACAGCTATTATTCATTAGGAATTACTCAACATTTACTTGGAGACTTTGTGTCAGCCCTTGAGTCAAACAAGCGTACATTGAATATCAGGTTAAAAGTCCTGGATGAAGAACATTCAGAAACCGCTGACAGCTATTATTCATCAGGAGCTACTCAACGTTCACTTGGAGACTTTGTGTCAGCCCTTGAGTCAGACAAGGGTGCACTGAATATCAGGTCAAGAGTCCTTGGTGAAGAACATTCACAAACCGCTCACAGCTATCATTCATTAGGAGCTTCTCAACTTTCACTTGGAGACTTTGTGTCAGCCCTTGAGTCAAAGAAACGTGCACTGAATATCAGGTTAAAAGTCCTGGGTGAAGAACATTCACAAACCGCTGACAGCTGTCATTCATTAGGAGTTACTCAATGCAACATTCGCTTGGAGACTTTGTGTCAGCCCTTGAGTCAGACAAGCGTGCACTGAATATCAGCTTAAAAGTCCTGGGTGAAGAACATTCAGAAACCGCTGACAGCTGTCATTCATTAGGAGCTACTCAACATTCACTTGGAGACTTTGTGTCAGCCCTTGAGTCAAAGAAGCGTGCACTGAATATCAGGTTAAAAGTCCTGGGTGAAGAACATTCAGAAACCGCTGACAGCTATCATTCATTAGGAGTTACTCAACATTCACTTGGGGACTTTGTGTCAGCCCTTGAGTCAAACAAGCGTGCACTGAATATCAGCTTAAAAGTCCTGGGTGAAGAACATTCGCAAGCCGCTGCCAGCTATCATTCATTAGGAGCTACTCAACATTCACTTGGAGACTTTGTGTCAGCCCTTGAGTCAAACAAGCGTGCACTGAATATCAGCTTAGAGGTTCTGGGTGAAGAACATTCGCAAACCGCTGACAGCTACCATTCATTAGGAGCTACTCAACATTCACTTGGAGACTTTGTGTCAGCCCTTGAGTCAGACAAGCGTGCATTGAATATCAGTTTAAAAGTCCTGGGTGAAAAACATTCACAAACCGCTGACAGCTATTATTCATTAGGAATTACTCAACATTTACTTGGAGACTTTGTGTCAGCCCTTGAGTCAAACAAGCGTACATTGAATATCAGGTTAAAAGTCCTGGATGAAGAACATTCAGAAACCGCTGACAGCTATTATTCATCAGGAGCTACTCAACGTTCACTTGGAGACTTTGTGTCAGCCCTTGAGTCAGACAAGGGTGTACTGAATATCAGGTCAAGAGTCCTTGGTGAAGAACATTCACAAACCGCTCACAGCTATCATTCATTAGGAGCTTCTCAACTTTCACTTGGAGACTTTGTGTCAGCCCTTGAGTCAAAGAAACGTGCACTGAATATCAGGTTAAAAGTCCTGGGTGAAGAACATTCACAAACCGCTGACAGCTGTCATTCATTAGGAGTTACTCAATGCAACATTCGCTTGGAGACTTTGTGTCAGCCCTTGAGTCAGACAAGCGTGCACTGAATATCAGCTTAAAAGTCCTGGGTGAAGAACATTCAGAAACCGCTGACAGCTATCATTCATTAGGAGCTACTCAACATTCACTTGGAGACTTTGTGTCAGCCCTTGAGTCAAAGAAGCGTGCACTGAATATCAGGTTAAAAGTCCTGGGTGAAGAACATTCAGAAACCGCTGACAGCTATCATTCATTAGGAGTTACTCAACATTCACTTGGGGACTTTGTGTCAGCCCTTGAGTCAAACAAGCGTGCACTGAATATCAGGTTAAAAGTCCTGGGTGAAGAACATTCAGAAACCGCTGACAGCTATCATTCATTAGGAGTTACTCAACATTCACTTGGAGACTTTGTGTCAGCCCTTCAGTCAGCCAAGTGTACACTTGACATCAGAATAAAGGTGCATGGAGAAGAGGATCCACGAACTGTTAACAGCCTGGTTAAGGTGAAGGAGTTAGAAACGTTGTTGTGAAGGAATTCATAATGAAAGGAGAGAAAAGGGAACACTACAATTAAGTATTTTGATAAAAGTCAATTGAATGCTCACACTAATATCAAGAGATCCCGATGTAGGAAATTTTTTCGAAGATGATATTTGAAAATTAGTAATACGATGCAACATGACCTTAAAAAAGCTTTTTTTTAGAAGTAACCAAAGGAAAGGATAGGACTCGTCATTTACAAAGCGCAGCAGTGAAAAGTAAAGGAAGGGTACAAAGCTCAGCGTTATATACATTGTTTAGTTGTTATCATAGAAATTCTTTCACTCGCCCTTTTTCTTCTTTTTTTCTTCTGTTGGTATATTTTTGAGTTTTTAGGATTTTTTTCGTGAAAAGACAAATTCATGGATATTTATATTCTTCACGTGTTGTAACTGTAGTTGTGGAAATGTACACGCATGAAATTCGTTTGTCAGTAGGTCTAAAGCTTCCACTGATATTTTTATTTTCATGATATCAATTACTCCGTTCTTCTGGCATGGAGTTCTTTTGTAATACAGCTGCGCAAGAAGCGAATCTATCAGTTGATTGCATGCCTCAAACTCGAATTGAATGATTAAGTGAGCCTGTTATTTGAGAGATTTTCGTATTGGACGGAGTTTCTAAAGTGACACAATTTATCTTTTAGCCTACCTTAACAAAGCTCTTCCTAACGACTTAAGTTAACAAAAGAAACTTGATGATTTTATTTAACCAGACAAAAATAGTCTCGATGGGGATATGCGTACCAAAACAAGATTTCCCGCTTGTCGTAAAATCATAGCCAAAACTTGAGACATGGTCTTTTCTTTTTTTCAATCTGAAATGTATTTTTGTAAATGAATGGTCTTCGCAACAAGAAATTGCTATGCCAGACACTTTTAATCTTTGTTCAATTAAACACATTGTTAAGGACAACTTTTTATCCTTAAGTTCCCTGGTTATTTCGTTTGTAATTCAATAACTACGTCATAGACCTATTTGCAACAGGTGATCTAAGTGGGAGAGCCAATGAGAGTGAGAGTCCACAGTAGCTACCATAGCAACCAATAGAACTGCTTCCAAATTTGACCAAGTTCATAAACTGTAAATGTGACGAGTACAAATACAGTGACTTGAAATGTCCCTCGTGGCGTCTAAATCCTCGTGGGCTCGGGCCACTCTGTAGAAAGAACAATGAATATGTTTAGTAAGGGACCGATCATCGTTTCTCACTTAGGAACTTAGCATGGGGGGGGGGGTGTGTGAATGGATAAGGTTGATAAGGTTGTGTCACAATAAAATTTACCTGATCCCCCATAATTTTGAGCCATGGGAAGGGAGGGGGTGGTAAAGGAATTTGGTTTTGTCACGATAAAATTTACCCGATTCCCCCATACTGCTCTGTAATATTCTTATATACCGTTTTTCAATTGGCAGCTGATTGGCAGTCAATTTTTTGTAGCCCGCCCCCTCGTTTTTACTCTGTCAGTAACGACTGATACCAACGTGCCTCCTCTGAAAACCATGTGATCCATCAAAATCCTCCACCCCTCCTCCCGGCGATTAAAAATGACTGTTCCCTAAAACGTTCTAAGTTTCAAGAAGACGTTTAGTCCTGAATATTTTCAATTCATTGTGTAATAAAAAATTTTTGGGTAGGGAGGGGAGGGAAGGGTGTCTATATAGCATTTTACAAGGATTATAAAATCGATTTGAACGACTTTCGTGAGTGTTTTCAGGTTCAACTGAGTCTATAAAACAGAATGAATATATTCTCACTCTCCTTGAGCGATGTACTTTCTTCTTGGACATAACTTAAAGAAACTTTAAAAGTTTTAACCTCCTGTTCCAACTTGTCCAATGTCCTCCTGGTTTTGCCCTGTTTTCTATTCTAAGCTTTTGACATCTTTGTTAAATGTGATGGTTGTCTCTGACCATACTGCTGCCAGCTCGTTAACATGGCCAACTGTTGTATTCAACTTCTTCGTCACATTTTGAATCTGCTTGGTATGTTGTCAAATATTTGTTTAAACTCCTTCTCATTGCCTGTTCCTTTAACAGCTGTAGAGACTTGGTTGCTGAGATTTTCTATGATTGCTGACTGGACTTTGACCGGGCTCGTCACAGTTTCAAGATTGTTTGAAAGCGCGTTAATCTGGTAATAAAATGTAATGTTGTGAGCGTTCATTATCAAAACTGAAACCTGGACCCTAAAACCTGGACTCGGGGAACCAACGCATGGGAAAATGACCCCATACTGAGAACCGAAATGGAGGCAAAAAATGGTGGATATTTACCCAACTGTGAAGCGGTCAGGTAAATATCTACCATGCAGACTGTTTAGTACTTAACACACATTGGCTTATTTGTTCCCATGGAAGGCAAAAAAAAAAGAAGAAATTTAGAAAAAAAAAATCAAAGTAAATTTGCATCATATCATTGCTGAAGATAAAAAAGGGACTAAATATGATTTAGAAAGAGGAGTCAGTCGACACACCAATGGTTGGATAACTGAAGTGATAACCATTGTGTTCTCCCGACATAATCGATGCGTGATACATAACGTCTCATAAATGTTGGATATGTCACGTGCGCGTTTGTGAAAGCTCGAAGTATGTCACGTGCGCGTTTGTGAACGGCTCGAAGTTAAACGCGAAGCGAGTTCCCACGTGGGCATCTCGTAAGCTAAACGCGACGCGTTTAGACTTAATGTCCGGCTTTTAAGCGAAAATTCAGGGACATTTACCTCTTGGTAAATTGCGGCTGATATGCACGACACCCATTCAACTTGTTCATTTAATCGTGACATGACTCCAAAACGAAACTATTCAACAATGCTTTATTCAAAATTTAAAAATAATCTGCAAAGAAAACCCATCAAGTCTGACATGCCTTGGTGAGTCTTTTATGAAGAAGACAAAATGTTCAGTCATGAGGGAAATAACTTGACCGCAATAGTTTCAAATGTTTTCGATATTAGTCAATGAGATCTATTAATATCTCTGATGAAGGACAAACAAATTGGTGGAGTTGTTCTTTTATCACATCCACCCACGGCTCTTAGCACATCTCTGCAGTTCACTTGTTCCTGATCAAACAGAAATTTGGATATCCAAAGACTCTACGACTGTTTAAGATGTGAAGGTAAGTAAATATATTTCACTTTGTTGGTCAAGGTCTGTTCTGGATGAGTAGAGCAACAAACGTTACTAAAAGCTGCTGTTTTCGTCAGCCTGGACTGATTATTCTTGGTCAGAGAAGTGTACATGCTCTTTCAAGTTTATGGTACTTGTACAGTTGTACAGTAACTAAGTTCTGAGCCACAGAAAGAAAATACTTTTATAGATCTTAAGCGAACTCAATAGTGATCAAAAGTATTTTTCAACGAAAGGCTATGTTTTGTGTTCCTGTTTGCGAAATGGAAGCGTCTTATCAAGAAATTTTCACACCCTTAACTCGTTCCAATCTGAGCAAAACTCAACTCGTTAAAAGTGATGAAAATTCAATCTTACTTTTCTGAAAACAAACCTTTTCAACGGATGCGCCTACGGCAAAATAAGACGCACCCAGCGCTGCTGTTTTCGTTAGCCTGGACTGATTATTCTTGGTCGGAGAAGTATATATGCTCTTTCGAGTTTACGCTTCATGTATAGTAACTAAGTTCTGAGCCACAGAAAGAAGACATTTTTACAGATCTTGAGCGAACTAATAGTGTTCAAAAGCATTTCACAACGAAACATCGCAGGAAATGAAATGATCATGAATATCGTTGGTCACCCACATCTCACGCGTTTGATATCTCTTTTTCTGTTCTTTAGTCATATTTCTGGATCTCATGCAGCTGGGGTGATATCCACTGCTATGATTTCCGTCCTAGTTGAAGTTTGAGTTACATTTTCTAGTATCGACTAAGTATTGTGCATAAATTGCGCCACAGCAAAATCTTGTAAAGATATTGAAACGTTCTAGTGAACCCACCATGGAATTGAATATATTTTGTGCTCCTGTTTGCGAAATGGAAGCGTCTTATGAAGAATTTTTCACACTCTTAGCTCGTCCCAATCTGAGCAGTACTTAACTCGATAAAAGTGATGAAAATTCAATCTTAATTTTCTGAAAACAAAACTTTTCAACGAGTGCGCCTGCGGCAAAATACCACGCACCCAACGCTGCGTCATAGTAGAGACATGTTGGCTTCACTCAACTGATTAGCTATTGATCTGATTCACTGGAGCGGTTTTCAATCGAACGAAAAAAGTAATACTAGATTGCTACTCTCCCGCTTTACTTTGCTTTGTGATTGGTTCAGAAAATTCTAACCATTCTCTGAGCGAATCACGTTCAAAACTTGACCAATTACGTCTTAGTCAATTCCGTTTTTTCGCGTTTTTGGGTAGTTTGCTTGTTTCTACTTCGAGATCTTGTTGGCCGCTAATGATGTTTTCCATTGTTCTCAGAGATTGATTTTGATGAGTTGGGCTTTGACTTTACTACAATCAATACTTTACCTCTTCCGTGTCAAACGCCTCTGTAGCTGCCTCTACCTTTTACACCCTTGCATCATTATGCATATTCTCCATACTGTTCTCTGTACATTTCATAAGTTTTAATAAGGAGAATTTGTGAAACCATCACGAGCTTCGTTAGTTTCTGATCATTTCGTGAGTTCCCACGTGGATATCTCTTTAGCAAAACGCGACGCAAGAATCATCAGCGTAGGTATTTGAGTCTGTTTGAATAGAACGCAAATGGAGTTTTTCTAATTAAAACTATTCGTTTACTTGCTCTTGCTACGCTTTTTAGGCACACTAAAACGAAATTGTTTACAAGCTCATTCAATGGCATAGCTCAAACTGCTTTTCTTTGGTTTCCTCTCCGCTGGCCTTTCTACTGTCCCACCCTCATTATGTCACGTGAGTCCTACCGATATACTCAACCCTCCCCAGGCCAAGCCGGATCAGCTTGGCTCATTTGTTCCCAATCTTAGTTTACTTGATAATGACGTTCTGGAAACGTCGAAACGTCGTGTTATGCTTTATAATATTTTATCGCAGATTTTTATTGTCAAATGCTTTACCAAATCTTTACTTATTCGAATTTTCTTTTGCCTCGTTAGAAAACGTCCACTTGAGCAGCCCCTGAAGAGGAGAGAAGCGCAAAGAGATCAGTGCATGATCTAAACCCGGTATGTGTATGCCAAAATCGCATGCCGATAAATGTTCAGTGATGCTTTTACGCTCCATAGTATTTTTGCCACTCCAAAATTCCAATACTTATTACACTGAAATGTATTTCTGACGCCTTATTTTCACTGTTACTTTTCATTGATTTACTCTAAAATATTCTCCATTGCTTTGTCGCAGGAAACACGCAGACTGATGCGTCTTTACGGAAAAAACCAGCCCTCCGACACGAAGATGAACACATACGAACTTTTGAAGTCTGGCCAGAATTATGAGGAGATTTCAGCAAGGCTGCGCGTACAAGAGTCTACAGCAGAAGTGTACACGATAGATGCGTTAGCTGCCGGAGCACCGCTCGACCATGAGCGAATGGCGATTCTGCTTGGAATAACGGGGGACACTTTCGAAGCAATCAAGAAAACTATAAGCTGTAACAAGGACGCCAAGTTGAGAAGCATTAGAGACGAACTTAACGAGAGTTTCACTTACAATCAAGTTCGTTTCGTGCTCGCATGCATGATTAGAAACATCAATTTGTAGGCGGTACCCGAGATGGCCGGCCGGAAATTCCAACACTTGCCCCTGAGAGGAGCCAGCTTGACCAAGTTTTGTGCGTTTTGTATTTGCTTGAAGATATTTTTTTACTTGGTTTGGCTATGTACGATTTTTGTTCTTTTGTTTGCACTTGTCAACCGTACCAATCCTCGGAGAAATAAAATAGTTCATTCTTTGATGTCAGTGATTTTGAATCAAGTTCTTGTCTTTTTTTCTTTGAAAAACAGTAGAATTCCGATTTCTCAAACCACACCCCCCCCTTCATTTTTTTGCGAAACCCCCGTAGACTCGAACCAAAAGTCGTTTCCCATCCTCAGCCTACATTTGTACCTTCGATTTTTCAAACTCCCAACTTTCTCGAATCAATTTTCGTTTCCCTGGTAGGTTTGAAAAATCGTGGCCACTGAACAGCACATGCATCAAATCGCTCACTTTCGGTATGCACGAAGAAATGTACACCGGCCGAAAATTGTAAAATAAACTCAAACGTTTAATATATGTTGACCTAAGATAATGGCCACTTTCCCCTTCTTATGCCAAAACAGGCGCCTGATCGCAGTTTTTTTGGGTAAATTACTAAGTGGCAGAATTATGTGGCGAATTATGGGTTTGGCGCAGGGAATGAGAAGCTTAGTTGTTAGCCCAACTTCTAAGGAAATTAGGCCGAAAAAAGGTTTATAGCAAGCAAGTAATTTCAGCTCAGGCTGAAAAAATGTGGCCCAGTAATGGGACTCTATTTTTGTCACAATAACTAGTACAGTACGTGACTCATTTACTCCAGGTTCCAACAAAGCAATTTATTTCGGGTACATAAAAAATAAATAAATAAATAAACATCCATTCGTATATAACAGATGAAAGATAACTTTGAATATGCACCTTATTTCAGTGCCAATCTATCCATATAGTTCATTTTACTACAGTACTAACTTTATTACAATTTTAATCTTTTTTTTTTTGGTGAATTCAATATATTAATTCATCCATTCCTCGACTCTGGATTTCCAAAGATCCAACAAAATTCTATTAACAAAAGCTAATACTTGCATAACGGTGTGGTTTCCAATAACAATGAAGTGAGCATTGAGTGCAAATGACTGAGATGAAAACCAACATTTATGAAAGATGGGTTGTTGGTGAGCCTGTGGTACAATCCCCTCCCTCCTCCCCAAATACAAAGAAAATGAAAAATTTGGAGTGCAAATAATAAATCAAGCCTGAGTTTGATTGTTATCCAATCTCCATAGTGAGAGTGGTAGCACCCTTAATACCCCACCCCCCTGGATCCACATAGGAATGAGACTATGGTGTTACATAAAAAATAGGTGTCACAGAACAAAATCTTAAATCTATTTGCCAAGTTCTTTGCATCATTGCCCACAGCCACTTGGCCAGCATCTTGACTGAGTTTGAAGGGCAATAAGCAATCACAGCTCCATGATTTATATGCTTGTGAGAGTCAACAATCATACATGAGCCATCCTCATTGACAATAAGAAGCATGGTTCTTCCTGAGGATACAACTGCATAACACCTTGACTGCTGCGTGGTACATAGCATTTCGAACACTGTTGCTAGCTGATCCTCACAGTCATGTCCAAACATATCATAGCCCTGTCCGACTGAGTTTACAAAGCATAGTGCTCCTGCCATATTTACGGCATCTTCAACAGCAACATCCACACCTTCTCCTTCAAACAGTTCATCACGGATTTCATTACCTCTTTTCATTGCCATATACAGTGCACTCTTCCATTCCATAGACAAACTATTACCACATGGTGTTGGCAAGTTTTCATGCAGTAAGCACTTTCCAAAGTACAAGGCAATGAATGTACACGCATTGCTCCAGACCTTCCTCCAATCATGGACTGGCAGAAGTCAACTGGAAAACTCCACTGTATAATACCTGCAATTCCAGGAACAGTGTGACCAGTAATCGGTAGTGCAGGGTTGCTGGGATGCAGGCGTAGTGTGAGCTGGCAGTGGAGCTGCATGACCTGAGGGTTGCTGGGATGCAGGCGTAGTGTGAGCTGGCACTGGAGCTGTATGACCTGAGGGTTGCTGGGATGCAGGCATAGTGGCGGCCATCCCTTGAGTTGTGTGACCTGAGGGTTGCTAGGATGCAGGCGTAGTGTGAGCTGGCACTGGAGCTGCATGACCTGAATGTTGCTGGTTTCCAGGTGCAGTGGTAGCCATCAATGGAGTTGCGTGAGCTGAGGGTTGCTGGGATGCAGGCGAAGTGGGAGCTGGTACTGGAGCTGCATGACCTGAGGGTTGCTGGGATGCACACGCAGTGGCAACTGAGGGTTGCTGGGATGCAGGCGTAGTGGGAGCTGATACTGATGGTGGTTGAACAGGGTGCTGTTGAGAAGTCGGATTGCATGCATCATTGGTTAAGGCATTTAAGGATCTTTTCCTCTTTTGATGATACATGCTCCACCAGCTTCTTATTTGTTGCTCCTTAAGTACCTCCACTCTTCTCTCTCTCATGCATGCAATTACATCTTTTGGGTCAGCCCGCATGCCACTGGTAGCTTGCCTGTTGTAAAACAACATCATAATCTCTTTCTGGGCTGAGCTGAACACAGTTTTCTTGCCAGAGTTTTTCTTTAATGCAAACCCACTGGGTGGTGAAGGGAAAGAGGACGGCTGAGGAACATTATCCAGGGTTGGAGCCAGCACTGTTTCAGGAGCATGATTGATAAACCAGATGGTGTAGACATCTTGTGGCTGAATGGAAACAGCTGACTGCCTTTCCAGAGGCTCTGGAAGCTCTGATGAAATAGAAGACCCCGTCGCACCAGCCAAGCAGGATTCTCTTGAAGCCAGCTTTTTTACTTGCACCTTGGTCTTCTTTACCATTTTCCCTACACCAGCCAGTGATTGAGCTACCAATCCACTTGCATACTCTCCATCCATAGGAAATGCAAAACTGCCAAACAGAGAAATGTCCTTCAAAGTTCCCATTTTCTTAGGGGCCATGCTTCTGTCAATGTTCAGCTTAAAACATGACATATTTTTCATACTCTGAAAAAAAGTGTAAATAACAGAATGATAAGATATGTGCTACTTTTTTTGATAGAGAGACAGCAAAAGAGGAAGAGCACTTTGCCTGAATAAATCAATCGGTATAAAATAACTGGGTACAATAACTGTAAAAAGGTAAAGGAAACAACACAAATGAACTGTCAATATGATGAATATTTTGGATGAATAAATTAAAACGACACAATGCCTGGGAGAAATAGTTATCACAGTGCAAAAGAAAGGGAGAAAGAATGTCAAAGAAATACAAACAGTTTTTTTAAACTTTATACCAAAACATTCCACCCATTTGTAGCTCTGCTTTTTTGGATGGGGGAGGAAGGGGTGGGGAGAGCAAATAAATCTAACAGAAAAGGTAAAAAAAAGACCAAAGTTGTTTGCTGAATAAATCACAGGTATCTAAAAGTACAAAAAGGAATTTTTTAACAAAGTCTACCAAATCATGCTAAAGAAAAATGCATTGAAATCAGTTGCAGAACTAAAAATAATGTAAAATTAACTTCAGTAATGTTCTTTCTGTTTCATGACTGAATACTTGGGCAATCAAAATCAAAATTTACCATTTCATATCATGCACTATTGTGGTCTAAATGGCAAATTAATAGACCGTTGCCTGTTATCAACAGGTCTTAGGAAAAAGTTTATTCCATCTTTTCTCATACTGAAAACAAAACAACAATTTTTAAAATATATTTACCTGCACAAGATCTCCAAGTTCTTCTCCTGTCTCCAGGTCATTTCCTAAGCGAACATAGCGCACAATCTTGTGGCTGATGTGGGCAAAGTGGGTGTCAAGAGCTATTTTGCTTTCACCTGCCTCGAAATTGTTGTACTGCTGGAGTCACACATTAAACATCTCGTTTACTTCAGAAAGATAGCACAGCACTGCAGTGTTATGGTAATGAGGACCATTGTCTGTAGAAAAAAAGGAATACAAAATTATCCAAGGTCCAAATTAATAAAATAAATATCTGCCAAAAAAGAAACACAGCTCAACATTTTCAGAATCTATATGCAAATTATTATTGAGTTTTTTAGAGCCAAGCAGTAAAGAACTGAAAATTAATATAAAGAATGGTAAACAGAGCTTTTTACTCAAAGATTTTTTATTTGGCTGCTGATAAACAAAACTAGATCAACACCAACAAGGGATACATGTACCCTAACTGCAGGATAAGTAAAGGGGTAAAACAAGGGATAAAACCTTATCCAATTGTAAGTTTACCACAAATGAAACAATTTCAGGAAAGTTCAGAACAAATTTGCAGTACTACATATAAGTAAAAATTTTGACTTGTATGTAGTTGTTACATAAACAAACCTAAAAATACAGTTGGTAAAATCTGGATATGAAAGGTATCTTACAGTTTTGTTGTTATTGACCATCCGTGTACAGACATACATGTATGTGAACAAGTGCAGGTTTGGTATTTACTATAAATTGTAAAATAATAAACTTAAAACATACACATACCAGAAAAGAGGTATACAGAGTATCCAGGAAAGACCCTTTCCAGCCAGGAAAAGCAGACATCCAGTGCGCTCTGAGTAAAGAAAGCGTCCTGCTTCGTGTCCTCCGACCACAGGTCAAACACCTCACTACTGTGTTGCTTCTCATCCACCTGGGCAACCACATAGCAACCATGTAGAGAGATTCCCTGTTTGCTGTACCAGTGTCTCTGGATTTCTCTTACTCGTTTGCCCAGCTCTAGCTTCACCTTATAATCAATAACCATTACACACTCTCCAGGTTTCAAGTTCTTCAGAATAAACTTATAATAGTCCCCTTGATGTTTGGTGCAAAGTAGATGTCCAAGGTAGTCAGTATGCACCTTGAACAATTCTTGCAAGCGTGCTGTCAAGTCAGATTTCACAGATTGATCTGAGATACCATCAACTGACTCCAAAACAGAGCTGTAAACATTATAAATAGGTGAAATGTCAGTACATATCGCTTGGTGCTCCTCGGGACAAGACGAAAATGCATGACTTTGACATAACTCTAAACATGAGGAATGACGCTGTGAAAGTTTTGAGAATTGTTTTCACAAAAGTCTGATAGCGCCTAACATCCTTGACAAGGGCAGATCCATTGAGGCCAGGGCTGTGTGAACAGAGTTCCTCGATAAATGTACACAATTCATCAAAATTAGAGTGACCAAAGTCATCGCAGATGTTGCACAAACCTGCAAGCATGGTGTTCATGCGGAAATTGGTTGGCAAATGTGTATAAATATATGTACGCTTTACTCCATTTGGAAACTCCAGTAAGTACTGGTTAATCAGGCCTTTAACAGTGTCTTGCCAGTACCTGACAGCCGTCTCCTCTCCATCAACCAGTACACTTCTACACGAAGAAGCTCTAGAGACATCATCCCTGTGTAGAAACTCAATCAGTTCTTCCAGCACTTGAGGACTCACACACTGACAGGTAAACTTGAATTTCTCCACAGGCACACCTCCATGGCCAAACAGTATGCAGTGTACCTTTGCAGCTGTTACGGTTTTAGAGGAGCACTGAAAATACTTCTGAAGAACAGAATATGGGTAGTCCATGGCAACGATGGACAGTAGCCTTCGCTTTTCATCAGCATAGCATCGAAGTCTGCCAAGTTGCTTTGCTGCATCAACACGAGAGCTGAAAATTTCTGGAGTGTTTCCATTGAGAGAAATTCTGCTTTTCCTTAAAGTGTCCCCGATCAAAACCTTTTGTTATTGGCTAGTAGCATTCTTTCTGATGGCTTTGTTTGCCTATTTGTCCTTGCAAGCTTTATACTCTGCTGCGAGTCTGGAGAGAAATGAGTTTTCACCGTGTGACATAGCACTGTTGGAAGCAGCAGATTCAGTTCCAAGTGAAGCCTGCCACTTTCCATATCTATTTCCATAGCTGTGTTTCGAACAAACACACTTCGCTTCGAACCCCATAAGGGCTCCAAAAAGGAGGTAAACGTAAACGAGATAGATGAATTGAAAACTATATACACTATTTACAATATTTACAGAAAAGGTAGACTTCATAAACGATGCTCTTTTAACGAAGGATCGCACGCTGCACGATAGCCCATATGGCGATTGAATTGTACGAGTCTCGGAAAACCGAGTTCCGCAAATGCAAATTAACCGAAACTTTGCCGACAGACAGAACAATAGAAACCCTACCATAAAAGGAAAACACATCGTAAGAAATCGATTTTTTTCGTGCAAATATCGTGAAAATACCGTTTTCCACCAATCAGAGCATCGGAAATTAATAAGATAAGCCAATTAAGGAGACTACTTATGCGCAAGCCCTGCGCCTCGCCCCTTTCCTTCTTAGGCGAACTATTACTTAAATACAAATGCGGCGTGCCAAAATGCATGCACCAATGACAGCTAACCATTATCCCATCATGCAACATAAGTGTTGACGTGTAATCATTCGACCCCATCGCCTGACTAAGTCAATGTTTAGCAGCGCAAAGCAGTCCAAACGTCACGATCTGTAATTTACAGTTAGATTCGATAATCAATGAAAACTACAAACCGTAAGTAAAACGATTTACCATTTATCTATCGAGTTTATCCTTCTCGCTCACAAAAACTCCGTGTTCAAATGTTAGCGTCCGCTTTACGAAGGATAACTATTTAGGAAGGTCAAGCCTTGAGCTAAATGTGACCATAATAATCATGGCTATAGTCCAAAATTACGCAAGATGGAAAGGCCTCTTAACTGGAACAACAACGAAATTTGTTATACTTGATTTGTCATGTAAAATAAGATACTAAGTCACGAAAAAACCTCGTGACCTCTGTCTGTTTTATTTGAACGCCACGGGCATTAGTCAAGAGATTGAAATATCGTTTGTTCCCCAATACAAAGCAGGCAGCTTTCGCTTCATTTCATTCCGTTTCTCTTTAGATGGTGTTCTGCTGTGTTTAACAAGTATGTGACTCGTTACCAAGACTCAGATATTTCTTTAGTTCCGAACGACTTCGGACTCTTAATTGTAAAGGTGAGTAAATACATTCCCTTTTGTTGCCTGTTACTTGCCTGATCAGAACAGTAAATTGATAAACCGACTATTTTCCCTCGCTCGCCATGCGGCGTATGCGGCCTATGTATTGTAAGTTAATTAGGAGATGCGGCTAAATATCAACCACCTGAGAGACAAAGAGAAGTATTCCTTCACATCTCGGGCCAAGAATGAAAGCTAATCTATAACATTTGTTTTTGAAGCAGCCAAACGATTCACTTCTATCTTGAAGGGGGGAGTGAGGTATTCCCTAAAATGACTCAAATGGGGAGGCTCCGCCCATTACACGGAACTTTTTCAGACTAGATTTTTTTTTTTTTTAAGGATCGTAATCTGTCGGTTTGGTATCAAAAATAGGCTCAAAAGAGGCACAAATATTTTGTGGAGAGTGTACGAAAAGGATACCTTTTCTACAGTTGTAAAGGTGAGTAAGGGATCGGATCTCAACAGGAACCGTCTCATCTAGAACTTCCTGGAGCACCCCCGGTTTTGATACCGCTGAGAGCAGTTTCATGGCGGTATTGCATCCTTACCACTTTTTTCCTCAAACATTTTACATTGTCGTTGTAGCCAGACCCTTTAGAAGTTGTCATACATAAGAGAAGAATTAATTCTTGCTGCCGATCTTTCACGTCGACAAAAGCGGGAGAAGGTAAGTTATTTCTGCGTTTTATCAGGATCACATGTTTGTTGAGTCAATGCTGTCCGAAAATATAAAACGTTTGAGAACCGTTGGATCTCAAAGTGGAGTTTACCCGTATAGAACGTTTATTTCGTTAGTAACCTACCCCTTCGCTCGGTTGCCGATGCCGTTAGTAGCTTTTACCGAGCCTAAGCTTTACCAAATTTTGCTTCTAACACTGATACGCTGTTGTTTCACTCCTTCGTAGTGGAAGCTGTAGTAAACGAGAGGGGAAGTTCACTTCGATTCAGACAAGAAACGGTGAGACATCTCTGCGCTTTATTTGGACAACATAAGTGCACGTTTGTCGGATATTACTGTAAAAAATGCTGTCGAAAATTAATAGCATTTGAGAAGCGAAGGAGTCGACGGTACGCCCGAAAGTAGCGGAAGCAGCTCGAACAAAAACCTTGAGTGCCGCTCTCGCCAGGAGCGGTCCTCTCGTCTTCCCGTCAGAAAAAAATTTTATTTTATTTTTTGCCCATGAAAATGGTCTAAGACGCATGTTTCAAATATGGTTAAGTTGTTTTCCAATTCTCGAAGTTTCTCGGAATTTTAATTGTAAGTCGGATTACAAGGGTGATGTATTTTCAATTTCTCGAGTGTCATGGCGATTATTTCACTAAAAATTGATTCGTAAGGAGACCACCTGGGCTATCTGCACCAGCAGTCAAAACCAGAATTCTCTTTACAAATTCAAAGGACAAATTTTGTCTCGATTTTTGCATCCGCTTCAAACATTTCAAAGCTGTCAAAGTTCGTTAGCGTTTGAACTGAACTCATTCTCCAGTTGCCAGGATTCATCGTATGTCGTTTTAAAGTTTTAAAATCTAGGAGAAAAATCATTTGATTACGTATTAATAACATACATGAAGAATAAAATTGTGCGTTCGGTCAAAACAACCGCGTACGATCAAAACAATAATATACAATGATATTTTCACATCTTTAAGGCGCAAGAAAGTTCAAAGTCCGGCTAAACAGTTTAAGGAATTGTTCAGTCTGGTTTGTTACTTCTTTGCACTGAATTAACCCTCTTCTGAAAACTGCATTTATCTTAACCAATCAGAACTGAGTTATTCTTTTCATGTATCTTATTATGTAAATAATACTGTAATGTATTTTAAGCAGCGCGATATGTCTGTAATGACCAGAGTGCCAGATTTTATTCTTTAATTTTGATCGTCTTTACACTGTGCGTAGTTCATGACCTAATATTTCAACGACAATTATCTAGAGGGCGCCTTCCGATCAACTTTGTTTTACTTTGTAAGTCACGTAAGCGCGCAAGCGTTACGACCGATCACATTTACGCAACGTTTTAGGACAACCCGGCATCTATTCTCAACTCAGTTGATATGAAAACCTTAAATACTCAATGTAGAAGATAAACAAACGAAGTTTGAACGGTCAAAAGGAGATCTTGGTCAATTTTTAGAATTATGCAAATATTGTTTGCCACGAGCGCAGTATTGAGCAAACAATGGATTTGCGCTGCTGTTTTTAAGATGAAGGTTAAAGATATATACCCGCGGGTTTGAGGCAATCGATGACCTCATTGGTGTATAAACTATGCACTGATAGGCCTTTTTTGCCCGATTAACGCCTGAAATTTGAGAATTCTTTCGTACGAATTGGTGAATTTTTGATATGCAAATCAAAGGGTCTCTAATCACGCCGGTATGAAAAATATTTCAGTTGAAGTTTCCATATTTTGTCTGTGCATTAACTGAATGCATCTTGTAACTTGTAGCAAGATAGAATTCCTGTTATCTTATGCCTGTTTCCAAGATATTACTCAACAAACTGTTCACAGATAGGGAAACCGAAAGTTAAGGGTTGTGTGGACGATCGAGAAAGGGATTAGGGGCGAGACGAGAAAGACACTAACCCGTCCCAGTCTTACGCTTACCATATCTACATTCTAGAATAGTTGCATGATGTGTGAAGTGCTATTTCGTAGATCTAGACCAAACACAAATTCCCCGTTGTTAAGGTTACGCACCAAAGATAAATCTGTTCGGTTTTAATTTAGGTTACCTTTTTTTTGCGTACAAACAACAAACTTAACTGATTTTTCCGCACAGGGACTGAAAGTGAATAGTTTGATTGGTGATTTTACAAAGAGTACTCACCCCACGTCACTCTGAGTTCTTGACGGCTCTTTGTGGTATTTTCTTTAGCTCTAGTTCTTCCCTGAGCAGTCGAAGCTTTGCAAAATGTGTTTACAGTATTAATATTATCATTATCGTTATTAATATTTAACCAGCAGAAAGTTACTTCTAACAGCGATGTAACAACTCTTGGCGAAAAACAAAACATTAGGTAACTTCCGTTCTTACCGGCCGGTATATGTGTGTTCATATTCGCATGCAAGAAAATATGACTCCCCTCCACAGAAGCTTCTCTGTTCCAATGAAACACAGACCTAAGCTCAAATCTTGACTCCAGTCGTTCAAAGTTTTATTAACTGTTCTTGTTTGCGGTATGCTAGAAAAAGGTTGACCATGCAGAGTTTCTAAAAGGATTACCTTCTTCACTAATCCAATAGAAGAGTAAAATAAATCCACACATAAATAATTAACTAAATTAAAATATAAAATTTAAAATGAATTAGAATTCGCAATAAAAACTTTTTACGGTTCCTTAGGATTTTTAAAAGGTGCAAGGAACCTCTGACCTGTAGCCCATACACAATGTATAAATCTCTAGATACATGATATTTATTCAAAAACGTATGGGTACGCAATGCGTAGATAAGCGCTTGGTCAGAACGAAGCTTACGGATCAGTTGCTTATAGTGTTTATAGCATCTCTTAAGTAGCCCCTTCTACCCACCGTAAACTATTGCAGTCAAGAAGATTCATGGAAAAAGCACAGTCAAAAAATTGCAGTGCATGGTGCATTTTATGGCTGATTTCTTGAATTAATTAATTTTCACTCGGGCACCACCAAGAGAAAGTACTGCTTGTATCCTACTCGCGAACGAGGAGAGCGTGGGGCCCGCGTTCCTCGCC